ATAAAATAATAAATAAAATACCTTCGAGGTAAAGTTTTTCAAGAACTAAAGGTTATAAGTTATTTAAAATGTGATAGAGAGATAAATTGAAATCTAAATTTGGTCTTCATGTACGAACAATAGCCGTACAATTTATGGTGGATTTGTGATTGGTCGTCTGGATTACGTGGTTTTAGGCTATTTGTTAATTGGATCGATAGTGTTACTTCGTGAAAGGTCGGCAAACGGATATGTAGTTTCTCGCAAGATGTAAAGGGTACTCTGTAAAATTGTATGACGTCTTACAGGGCAGGAAAGTTTAATTTAAACTTAGGCCTACATTCATATAGCCCGTATGTACCGAATATTTTTTTATGTGCTACTAAATTGCTATTTATAAAACACAATTAAAGCGCTACACCACTAAATGGGAAACAAAGTTAACAAGTGTCGTAAGCTGTAAGTTACCGTGAGGGTCACATATGTCTTATTGATTAGTATCATAAATCATGCATTCATAATTCTAAAAAGGTTTTGATAGCTTCGTTATACGTAGTCAGTTATTTCGTCATATACACAACTTTGCTCGAGTCACTGTATTAGGCTTACAGTATGTAAATAAGGTGTGTTCCAGAGTAATTAGCTATAGGCAGAAAGTTTTGATCAACTTAACGGAGAAACAGAAAATCAAATCATGATTATTATACCCAATAACAATAGAAGTTAAAATCATGGAGTTTCCTACTTCCATAAAATAATTTAAATTAATAGTTCAATAGGTGTTTCATGAGATGGGGTATTTTAGTTAACGCAAAAATGCTGAAGTATAGTGAATGTGTTAATTCTTTAACTCAATTAGCACTTAGTTGACCACCCACCTTGATGTCAAGTCATCCTGAGATTGATCCGAGGCCATGAAAAACTTGATAATCACATAGATGCTTAAGAAAAGAGGGAGAGGGTCCTTATTTAATAATTAAATAAAAGCCGATTTATAGTCAGTTTATGATCTTTGCCAACAAAATTGATACACACAGTTTTCTTTTTTAACACAAATACAATTTAATATACACACAACAATACAATTTACAATAACTGTTATTACAAATAGTTATTACAAACGATAATTTATAAACAAAAGTTTCACAAACTTCTAAGCAATATAAAGTCTTCTTTCTAGTCTGGAACTTCTTGGATATCTTATCAAGTGTTCATGATGAGCGAGTTGACGTAGGTATAATTCACTTCACAGGGAGCTAGCTGGCTTTGTCCTTTGTTATTTACCAGCCACACACGCCGAGTTTTCTACGAAGAATTTATATAATGTTTTCGTAAAAATACTAATGTCCGATGAGAATCCACTGAAGTTAAATTATTTATAACGTCTGAACTTTGTAAATGCTCCTGGTCAAATATCTGAAGTTTTCTGATTGATAAGCGTTATAACAATCACAGTTAAAGCTTTTGAAGTTTATAACACACTGACTATACCAAACTTATAATAGATACTCTTTTTTTGGTGCATCACGTTGGTTATATATTTATAGGCGTGTGGAGGCTTTCTCGAATTTTAAGCTTTACTTAACAATACTGGCACTAACAATAGCGTTTACGATACATATATTGTTGATTCTTGCTCTCGAGAGTCTTCTACAACTTTGGAGAATAGGTAGAAGTTTCGCAATACATATTTAACGGTATAAGCTTTGTATGTTTCTAAATATAAATTTAATCTAAACAAACGTCGATATTAAAATAGATATATAATAACAAATTCATTACAATATTAACAGTTGATTGGTGTCAACATAATACAACAGAATAATATCAACAGTTGGTTAGTGCCAATATAATGCAACCGAATAATATTGTTATGTCTGTGTTCGTTTGTTAATTTTCCGTAGAAATTCTTTCCAAGAAACCTCTGCAATACAAGTCCTTTCTTAAATAAAACTAGTTTATTCTTTCTCAATTCAACTTTGCAATACACTTAATTTCCACATTCACTTTAACTTACACACACGCTATAATTCACAACGATTCACGCACTTTACTTACGGTGCCCGCTTGACTCGATTATCCATGTCTATATCTTCAATCTCTCTATCTGCAACTATATTCTTGCCGTCACTTTATTTGCCGGCTTATATACTATAAAAGCGTACATCTCGTCTTCTAGATACTCATCACGTGTTACTAGGGTCACGTGACTTCCGCTGTCGTAACAATATCAATAGTTAGTTAGTGTCATTATAATATAACTGAATAATATCAGCAGTTGGTTGGTGTCAACGTAATCCAAGCCAATAATATCAATAGTTGGTTGGTGTCCGCATAATCCAAACCAATAATATCAACATTTGGTTGGTGTCAACAAAATACAACCGAATAATATCACCAATTGGTTGGTATCAACATAATCCAAACCAATAATATTAACAATTAGTTGATGTCAACGTAATACAACCGAATAATATCAACAGATGGTGTCAACCTAATACAATCGAATAATATCAACAGTTGGTTGGTATCAATATAATACAATCGAATAATATCAGCAATTGGTTGGTGTCAGCATAATCCAAGCCAATAATATCACCAGTTGGTTGGTGTCAACATAGTACAACCGAATAATATCAGCAGTTGGTTGGTGTCGATATAATACAACCGAATAATATCAACAGTTGGTTGGTGTCGATATAATACAACCGAATAATATCAACAGTTGGTTGGTGTCGATATAATACAACCGAATAATATCAGCAGTTGGTTGGTGTCAATCTAATATGACTCAATAATATCGACAATGTTAGTTTAGGGATTATTGTAATTAGTTAATTAAAAGTATACATTAACTCTTATGATACTTTAACAACTTCAACAAGCAAAAACATAAACTCGACGTATATTTATTTAGTTTGTTTATCACGTTCCGTTTTATCAGTCAATCTTTTAGAAATAAAAAAGCTAAGATTGCATACGTGTATACTTGTATATGTGTGGCGAAAAATAAGTTATAATCATTTTAGTCTATAAGTAGACCTGCATTTTAAATAACTTGCAACGTTTATTTTCAAAATCAGAATCACACATTTTCGTAAATATATATGTTTAAGCCTATGATTAACGATGGAGCTGATCCCTATCGGTTTTTAACAGCTTATTCTAAACGGTTCATGACTAAATCGTTTGTGAGCGCTTGAGTTTATTGGTTACAGCTGACTCACAGCGCTCAAGTGACAGGACTTCCGTATCATTTCAATAACAGTTCAAAATTAACTAAAAAATAACGTACGTCTACCAGTTGTTGTTTTTGTAGTTTAATGAGAACTATAAGAAAAACGGAGAAAATTAAAAATTAAAACAATAAGTCAACGAAACTGAAACTCTAAGAACTAATGACATTAAAAAATTATGGTTTCTGTTCGGAAAACATTTTTCGATATTTTTATTCACTTAATATCGCTAAACTAATCAGCTGATCATACTGTGCTGCAGGTGTGTGCTAGAAAGGTGTAAATACTAACAATCAAATACACTTTAGGTGTAACAGAGTAAAAAAGAGAAGAATATAAAGTACGATTTTACCGTTTACTTTACGAACGGTTTGTTAATTTAGTTTGTGTAGGATTTAGTGCAAAGCTACACGAGGACGCTAGCCGTCCCCAAGTTAACAGTGATAGACTAGAGGGAAGTCAGCTAATCAACAACAGTCCCCGCCAACGAATAGTGAGATTAACTGATAGGGCGAGCGTGTTCAGTGTGACGGGAATTGGAACCCGCGACCTGCAGTTTGGGAGTCGAGCCCCCTAACCACCAGGCCATGCCAGCCGAAGAATAGGATTGTTTATTTGTCCCTTTCACATCCAGTGTTTATTGAGCTTAACAAGAAATATAAGTAGATGAATCACATGTCGCACATTAATTTTTATACGCAGTTTGCTCTCCCAACATCCCAGGACGAAACGACGGCGTGGCGCTGATATTTTATGATACATTTTAACACGTCTGCTAAAAAAAAAAAAGACTTTCATTTATTGTCAAAGTAGTCCCAGAAAGTGCCGCAACGGCGTTCTACCACGAATCCAGTGCTGCAGCTTCCATAATATGATGTACGAGAGTCACAACAAAATGTAAACAAAAATGTCATCAATATTGCAATTAAACCACTTAATTACTGAGGAGGAGGATCTCCCCTGTACTTGACACTGAGTGATTTCACCTAGATTTTCATCAGATCTATATTATTATGAATGGAAAATAAGTAATTTCTAACCCTGAGGATAGAGTTCTATTATGTACTTTGGGCATGGAGATAATGTCCTATAGGGGTAGTGTCTGCATTCAGTGCTTGTACGATTTTAAAGCTGGGTTTCTACTAGCATAAAAAATAAATTCTGACGCTAACCAGATGTAAATAACAACAACAAAAAAAAAACTTTAAGTTGGAATAAGCTTTTCTTTACGGCTGGTGTGTACGAGATAACATGTTTTTCACTACTTACTTTTTGTGTGTTATGTAGGTTAAAAACTCCTAACACTAAAAGTAGTAGGCATAAAATTCAATGTTTCGAATTTTGGGATAGAATAATGGCGTTTCGTGGCGGGAAGTAAGAGTATTCTGTATACACACACGTATATATATAATTTAACTACTATATATATCACGTACATTGGGAAGGGGTGTATTTGCAAACACTAGGTGTACGACTTTTAATATGAATATATATATATATATATATATATTTCAAGTACATTTTTGGAAGTAAAATAAATCGTCATTGACAGTAATATGTGTGTTATATCGATGAAATACATTGTGTTTTCTATTTATAATTATGTTATTACAACTGGCCTCTTGCTTTAGTTTCTCAGTTAGAAGTGGATGTGTACTAGTACGTGTGTATTATCCTCCTCCCTTAAAAAAAAATTACTACATTCATTTTCCCCCCTCCCTCCCATAACATCCCATTACACATTTATGTTCTTGTATATATATACTCTGTAGGAACGTAATAATTACATAGATTTAATAAAGCATCGCTGCAGAATGCAAAAATAAATGGTAAACGACCGAAGTTTCTATATTACACTATGGTCCCTTAAGATCTAGGCTAACCTTAAAATAGTCATGCAAAGATTTCGATGTTTAGATCATATATCTTACAAACATGTAAAGGGTTAAATATTATGAATAAACCATTATTGTTTCCACGAAGCGCGCACAGGCGATATCAAGTTACGTCGCTTGAAGCATGCTGGGGCGTAAAAGCGGGGAAAAGAAAGTCATCGCTAAAAAAGTTGTAAAATACGCCACGCACAATCGTAACGTTACTTACATCCAAGACTTTTCTGTTTGTCACTGGCCTGCAAATCAATTTATGATTTTCTTAAATTCGAGAAATTGAACAATAATAAGAATAATAACTGAAAAAATACATAAAGGATGAGCTTTCAGTTATTTTATGTAGCAGGCGATATAACGACGACTCAATCGAGAAGAGTCAGGCTCACGTGCTGCTTATGTCACCAATGAGAGGCTAGTTTTGCCAAACGTCAAGAGAATGAATGGTAGTACGAACAGTTAACTCTATTCAGTAGTATAACGGAGCGAAAACGGAAAAGTTTGAGTTGTGAGGTCTTGAGAGTTAATATGCGAATATTATAAAAAACAATCTAATTAACTTCGAAAAGCAAATCAGCGGCTTTCTGTGTACGGGGTCAAAAGTTTTTTGTAGTTAATTTACTTTTCTAGAGACTTCTTTGTACGGGACGCTTTCAGCTAACAAAGTTCTGCGGCCTGATGAGTAATCCTGCCAGCAGTCTTGCTGATAGGCGACCCCCAAAGGTCTGGACTAGTGTTGAAGAGACTGACCCACATGACCTTGAAGCTAATGGTGCAGCTGAGTTGCAGTACGAAGTCATTAACGAAGTGGACACTGTTCCTGAGGGGCATCGGTCAAGTTGTTGGCATGGCTTTATGAGTGGAATTGGAGGTCAGTAACTAGAAAAATTTAATTCTGCTACTTCTGTTTTTTTTAATCATCACACTACGTAATGTAATACCCGTAAACAAGGGCGCCCGCTTAATAAAAAAATTAAAAGGAAATGTAGTGGTAAGATTTATGGTAAATTTACTAAATTTATGTGTAGTCATTCCTGATTTTGAACTACTGTCCAGAGGAATGGCAGCTGGTCAGCAGCATCCTATCATCCACCATCTACACTAAAAAAATTGTCAGCCATTCTTATAATGCAACCGCAGCTGAAAGTGTGAGGAATATTTTTTAGCCATCCCCCGGCGACTCGGCGGGAAGTCTCGGGGCTTGTCACGTTAAAAAATGGGTTTCTATACTCGTGGAGTCACAGAACAGATAGCCCGTTGTTAAGTAGCTTTGCGCTTACCAGCAAACAAATAATAAATACTAGCAGAGACCCGCAAAACATTTCCGGCCAAATTAGTATCTTTATCGTAACAGTACTTCTTTAAATATAAC